TCAATTCCGACTTTGCTATGACAATCTGGCGCTTCTGAATCAGCAACTGTAAGTATGTTTTGTTATTAGTTATTTAGTTATATGTTATTTGCTATTGACTGTTCAAATGCAGAGTTTTGTGCAGCGCAGAGTAACGCGTCGTGTGTGTGTGAGGGGAACAGGGTCACATCACAGGAGAGTGAACTGCCTGTCAGAAATCATAGCACGTCAGCTGTCTTAACCGCGGCTTGTGTACTGCATCATCACTGTGTCTGTCACGGTGAGTAATTTATGGGCTAATTTTCATTTTTGGTTGAACTAACCCTTTAAAGAGCAGCCCTCCACGTACATGAAAATTTGTGAGGTATGTGAATGTCATGTCTGTTTTAATGTTTCAGTAAAGAAGTAGCTTTCTGAAAGCAATATATTTATTTAAACAATATTACATGCCCTCACACTAGTGCTGCCATTACAGAGACATTAAACAACCACACAAAGTGGTTGAAATTATAAAACAGACTATTTACCTATCCTTACTGATGTAGATGCACATTTTAATTAAATGTTTTCTTTTTTCAAATGTTTTTCTCTTTTTAGGCCACTGATGAAGAACAGGTGGTGACTGGGATGAATGCTGGTCAAAGAGGAGAATGTCCTTTCCCCCAAACTGATGCAACAGTGGTTTTAAAGGAGGAGGCTGCCCTGGATAATGTAAAAGATGTCACATGCCTTTGCTGTGCTGATGGGGCTTCTTCATGACTACATCAATTATGCTAAAGAGATCATGAAAATTGGCAGCGATGCCTGATCTGTATTCATGGACTATGAAAAAAACTGTAAGTGTATAATTTGTAAAAAACAAAATGTTAAATGCTTGTTCTGTGTTGTTGTTTAGTAGAAATGGAGTTTACACTCTTATCATTTATACACATGCTCACATTCTTTCACACAAGTTTCTGATAAATGTTATAATATCAGTGTTAATGTTGTGGTTTATTTACTGTCATGCCAGAATAGTTTGTAAAGAACTTAACTAGTAACTCATCATTTAGTGTCAGTTCATGGTTTATAATTCATAGTATTGCAGTGCTCAGCTCAACATGTATAATGTTGTTGTTGCTGTTCAACTGTCTTCATTTGTCATTTTATAGGGTAAGATGCCCCCCTCCCAACAACATTAATTTGTCCTCTTGACCTTAAATGTCACTTAATCTCATCTCAATACATTTATTGAATATTCATGCTCTTATGAATCTTGAATTTTTGTCTTTTTTTTATTTTTTTATCTGTAAGTTTATTTAATTTGGACATTAAAAGTTTAATGTCTATATGTTAATGTAATAAGTGTGGACACAGTAATTCACATAGATTTGAAAATCAAAAATTTGTTTGGGGTACGATGCCCCCCTCAGAGTTCCCAGGGTAATTTACCAAAAAAGTCAAATTTGATCTTAAAAGTTATATTCAACAAATGTTCAATGCTTCATTTATAAACTCTGTAGCTGTTAATGCCATACTTTTCTGCATTTATTCTTACATGCATGTTACTTGACTGTTTTCTCTTGTTTTAAATAAATATTTACCTTTTGATAGTCATTCTGTGTGTGTAAAAGTGATTTTAAAATGAACAAGATTAGTAGGTTTAATGTCTAGCATGATTTGGGTTCATTTTAGCCTAGCAGTGTAGTAATTTTAAACCATAAAAAAGCAACCCAGCATGCTGGGTCAAACATAATAACCCAACTTGGGTTAAAACAACCCAGTGCTGGGTTTGTCCCTTTTTAACCCAGCTCTGGGTTGCCAGAATAACAAAACATTAAGAGACACACACACACACACACACGAATAATGTAACAATCCCCAAAATCTTATGGGTACTAAACAGGCTTTGTTTTCTTTATGCAAAATGTTATTTCGTTTATCATCACCATCAACATTATTATTATTATAGATTGAAATGTGCCCAGGACATATTTTCATAAAAGTAATGAGTTGAATGTTGCCTATTCTGTAGTCAATAGAGAGGCCCATCGGGCGCCAGTTGAACAGTTGGACACCTGTCGCTCACCCACCCCCTCCTTCTCCTTGGTCTGTTCTATTCAACCCTGACTGCAGCGTGCAGCTGCCAACTGACGGCATTACCTTACACGACCCCTCGACCTCTGTGAACACAACTCAATTTCGAACAGATTTCTCACGATCATACAATTTTTTTTTTATCTTAAGTCTTATGCATAAATACGCGAATTGAATACGCGAATTTATTATTATTATTATTATTAGTTGAACTGTCACTTAATCTCATCTCAATACATTTATTGAATATTCATGCTCTTATGAATCTTGAATTTTTGTCTTTTTTTTATTTTTTTATCTGTAAGTTTATTTAATTTGGACATTAAAAGTTTAATGTCTATATGTTAATGTAATAAGTGTGGACACAGTAATTCACATAGATTTGAAAATCAAAAATTTGTTTGGGGTACGATGCCCCCCTCAGAGTTCCCAGGGTACGTGAGTTTGAAGAGTCAGATTGTGTGTTGAAGATTATGGATTGTCTGAAGAAACAGAATGTGTATATATACACACTAATACTGAATAGAGGTTTTAGTCTGCTATTTTTATTTGCTTAATTTATTCTAATTTAATTTAAAACACAAATAAAGCTTATTCACCATTTGCAATCATCAGATGCAATAGAGGTTTGAATAGATAAATAATAAATTGAGTAGGGTCAGGGGTCAGCTAACTGTGTGTTTGTTGAGAGAACAGATGGTGATAAACAGATCCCGTGTGACCAAACTGTTTTACCAGCTGGTTTGTTATAGATAGATAGATAGATAGATATGGAAAAAAAGAAAAGATGTCTCTTTGTCATTTTTAGGCCCCACAGTGCTATTAACAACCATTAATGTAATTATGAAAATTGTGATGCATATACATAAGTCCTAAACAAAGTATCAGCATGCTTTAAATACCTTAATCTTACTTTTATGAAAATTATAAAGTGGTGTTGCATCATGCATTAACAATAACGCCATACCATAAACGCCATAACCATTCTCAAATAGAAACTGTGTATGGGTCACTGACAAATAAAGCTTCTAAACAACTTCAAAATGAATGCAATGCATATTTTTGAGTTTGGAACAATGTGTTTAAACAAGTTTAATTTGTTAAAAAATGTTTCAAAGTATTTAAATTATTATTATTTTAAATATCAGGTGATACAACCAAATATTTGTAAATACATATTTATATTCCTAATTTTATTTCTAAGTGGTTGCGCCACCATGACATTTGAAAACATACCAATTGCCGAACAGAAGTTTTTCAATTATTTCAACAGCTTTATTAACTACTGGTATGTATGAACTTTGTTTATAGGAAAGATTTTAAACATGCAATCATGCAACTGTATTTTAGTTAGAATTTATTATTGCTAAAACTCAATTTGAAATAGTTTTCTTAGTTTGTTAATTTGTGAGGGTGGTTGCGCCACCTGACGTTTTGGAGTTTTGAGGTACCCAAACATGAAATAATATTTATAATTTGAATGTACTCAGAATGTATTCAACCTAAAGTTTTATCGAATAAAGTGATGCTTGTCATTAAAGTATCAAATTATTTTAAGGAAATAATGCACTTAGACACCAAAATATGCATGTCATGTAATTGACCCATTTTCAAATCATATTATTAAATAATGAAATAATTGTCAGTTCTTTAATTTAATGAACTATGTATGCCAACATTTCCCCTTAATCTTGCATGCTTTAAACATGTTAATTATTTTTATTTAAAAAAAGAATAAAAATATCTCCTTACTATTTCCCCCCAACATATAAATGGTAACTTTTGCGGCAAGCTATTTAGCGCGCTCACGTCACGTTGGTGTGCGCCATGGTCACGAAAACTCATCATTTGCATGAATAGTTTGTAAAGAACTTAACTATTAAATAATTGTAATTGCCATACTTTTCTGCATTTCTTCTTACATGCATGTTACTTTTGACTGTTTTCTCTTGTTTTAAATAAATATTTACCTTTTGATAGTCATTCTGTGTGTGTAAAAGTGATTTTAAAATGAACAAGATTAGTAGGTTTAATGTCTAGCATGATTTGGGTTCATTTTAGCCTAGCAGTGTAGTAATTTTAAACCATAAAAAAGCAACCCAGCATGCTGGGTCAAACATAATAACCCAACTTGGGTTAAAACAACCCAGTGCTGGGTTTGTCCCTTTTTAACCCAGCTCTGGGTTGCCAGAATAACAAAACATTAAGAGACACACACACACACACACACGAATAATGTAACAATCCCCAAAATCTTATGGGTACTAAACAGGCTTTGTTTTCTTTATGCAAAATGTTATTTCGTTTATCATCACCATCAACATTATTATTATTATAGATTGAAATGTGCCCAGGACATATTTTCATAAAAGTAATGAGTTGAATGTTGCCTATTCTGTAGTCAATAGAGAGGCCCATCGGGCGCCAGTTGAACAGTTGGACACCTGTCGCTCACCCACCCCCTCCTTCTCCTTGGTCTGTTCTATTCAACCCTGACTGCAGCGTGCAGCCGCCCACTGGCCGCATTACCTTACACGACCCCTCGACCTCTGTGAACACAACTCAATTTCGAACAGATTTCTCACGATCATACAATTTTTTTTTTTATCTTAAGTCTTATGCATAAATACGCGAATTGAATACGCGAATTTATTATTATTATTATTATTAGTTGAACTGTATTTGAAGGAAGCGCAGCCATCAAGCAGCAAAAGACAACAGTAAACCATCATATACATGCATACATACACACACACACACAACGAGAGCAATGAAAGTGGACTGGAAGTATACCTACATATAAACAAAAATAATTCAATTTGCTTGTTTGTGCTCTCTGAGACAGAGACAAAAGCGCGCGCGGTGATTGGCTGGAGCGAGCGCAGACTACTGCACGCGAATGTTTCATTCATATGCAAATAAGCTACTATAAAACCCTCACTCTAGCCTGTCATCGATGAGCTGTCAGTCCTGTTTGGTTTGTTCAGATACACAATAAAGGAGATCAAATACTGATTTACTCTGCTTTATTTTACGGACCGAACGGTTCTGGACGGCGGATCACTGACCAAGCCACCTAGCCCGGAATGTCCCCCGCAGCAAGACTCAGAACAGGTTTCGGTGTGGAGGAGGAAGCATTTTGTGCCGCTAAAGGTGACAGAAAGGTTAGACGTTGTCATTTTACATTGTCTATAAATGCCAAAAAGGAAGTCTGTGGTATGCTTAAGCACACATCGCAACCATGTATTTATTGCATGTTTTTGTCTTCAATAGACTCGAAAACCTATAGTGGAGAAAAAGAGACGAGCGCGCATTAATGAAAGCCTGCAGGATTTCAGGACACTACTCACAGATAACATTGTAAGTTTATTTCCTCTTTACTGCCTCTACCACCGACTCTTAGTCAGATAGATAGATAGACCGACCTCACTTTCTTAATATTAACACATATTTATACATATTTATTATCTAATTGTACTTATTATTGTATTTATCTAATCAGTTGCAGACAAAAATGGAGAATGCAGAGGTGCTTGAACTAACAGTAAAACGAGTTGAGAGCATCCTACAGAACCGTCCTAAGGGTAAGATGACCCCAACCTCAGTTGTACTGCATTTAGGTAACTGGTTGCCGTGAAAATTATTTGAAGCTCTTGTGTGTCTGGACTTCCAGAGGCTGAAGCTGTGAATCGAGAGGCCAGTGAGAGATTCGCAGCAGGTTATATCCAGTGCATGCATGAGGTACACAACTTTGTGTCCACATGCCCGGGGATCGATGCAACAGTGGCTGCAGAGCTGCTCAACCACCTGCTGGAGTGCATGCCATTTAATGAGGATCACCTTCAGGAGATGATCATGGAGCTCATATCAGAGCCTTCCTCCTCCAGTGGATCATGGCCAGCTAGAGAGGTGTTAAGTCCAGGAGGCCGCAGTGTGTCCGACCTATTCTCAGCACTGTCCCCATCCCCGTCCAGTCCTTCTAGTGAGGATCTCTGCTCTGACCTAGAGGAGACAGAGACTGAAGGAAGTCCTGCATCAGCTGAGGACAACCTGAACTCCTCCATCATCACACACTCTAAGTTTATGTGGCGGCCATGGTAGAAATCTCTTGAATGTCCAAACATCTTTATTCATAATTCACTTAATCCTGTATTGGAGCATGCTGGAATTCTTTTTTCATCTGATTTTTTTTTAGAAAATGGCTGGAACTTTAGGATTTTATAAGCACATGCTATAGTGGATATGACATCATCTTACAGAAAAGCATGGAATACATCGTGACTGACATAACTCCAGATATTTTTTCTTCAGAAACATGATGCCTTGAAGCATAAAAGCTTATGTAGAAATGAATTTCAGATTGAAATGCCTTAAAAACTTAACTGTAATGGTTTATGCTAGAGATTGAGAAATTGCTTTGTTTTAGTCAGGAGAAAGATTTGTTTTGTGTCTTTTGTAGGTCTAGTTAAAAATATAGAAAGTCACACTGAGAGAATGTCACATAGATTAAATCCATGGCCCTTGTGTAGTCATTAAAAAGTGTTTTTTATTGTTTATATACTTCAGGGCATGATTCCTCACATCCAATCCTGGAGGGCCGCTGCCCTGCAGAGTTTAGGTCAAACCCTGATGAAGCTCACCTACCTGTGTTTTCCTAGTGCTCCTGAAGACCTTGATTAGCTTGCTCAGAGGTGTTTGATCAGGGTTGGATTTAAGCATTGTGGTTTAAAAACAAGTGATTGAAACGCAAAAAAAACAGCACTACATGTGCAAGCTGTCTGTTTCTGAGCGTGATTTCTGCAATTGGGTTGGATCGAGGTCGGGTCATATTCACACCTTAAACGAACCGTACCAGAGTTCGTCTGGAAGCGGACCGAGACCACCTCTTCAGCTGGGTATCGGTACGGTTGTTTGGTCCGCACCCAAGTGCGATTGCTGTATTCACACCTGCCCAAAAGATCCGCACCAAGAGGGGAAACGAACTTGAGTTCGATTCAATCGAACCAAACAAGACAGGTGTGAATACACCCTTACTTTATGTACAGGTAGGAATCTGAAAGGTCCTGTTGCCCTCTGCTGGCTGAGATTAGTGGAATGTCAAGACAGATTATACTAGGTTGCTCCTTTTCTTCCTGTGAATGAGACCCTCCTCTATCTTCTCCACCTCTTCTCCTCCCAAAATGCCCAACTCCATATCAGGTAGGTCTTCTTCAAGCGGGGCAGAGACGTCATTCTCGCAGTACATACACTCCTAAACAGACACATGCAAGAGACCTTCAAAATAAGACTACATACTTATATAGAAAAAAGTGTTTATTACGTTTGAAATATGGATATTTTTCTTACAAAAACTCATGGATTCGCTACAGGGGGCCTTTATTCATCCCCCGGAGCCGTCTGCGGCACGTTTTATTATGAATGCGCAAGCTTTATTTGACGACTTGTGGACTGTTCAACTGCAACACCCGCTGACTGCAATGATAGAGCTTGGAATAGCCAGGACAATTTTTAATATAACTCCGACTGGATTCGTCTGAAAGAAGAAAGTCATATACACCTAGGATGCTTCGAGGGTAAGTAAAACACAAGCTAATTTTCATTTTTGGGTGAACTAACCTTTTAAGCACAACTGTAACACGGTTGTCATAGTTTACACACAATAATTCAAAACTGTTCACACTTGTTTCTAAATATGTGAATGTTCAAAATATAAGCCAGTTCAAAGTGCGCAGATGGCATGGGTGCATCCATCAATCTGAGAGGTATGGAAGACGAGGTGGAAGACCTCCATATGAGGTGGAGGAAGAGGAGGACGAGGAAGAGCAAGACTAAGAACAGTCATTTCAGATGAAATCAGAGCTACTGTGATAGACCATGTTCTTGTGTGTGGAATGACCGAGGCAGGAAAAAGAGTTCAACCTAATTTGAGCAGATTCTCTGTGGCCACCATAATCAGTTGGAAAGAACAGCAAGGTAGCAAAGCAAAGAAGAGTGGAAGAGAATCCTGTGTAGAATTGCAAGACTACCACATTAGGGTGGAAGAACTGGCCTGTGGTAACATAAACGTGCTGTCAAGGCTGGATCCGCCACACCAGAGTTTTTTTTTTTCCCCCGTTGCCTGCCTGTGACGTGGATGAAGTCCCCTGATTCTTTTTTACATATATATGTATGTATATATTAATGTGTGTGTATATATATATATATACAGTGCCTTGCGAAAGTATTCACACCCCTTCATTTTTTTTACATGTTGCTGCCTTATGATAAACTTCTTTAAATTACTTTTTTCCCACATCAATCTACACTCCATGTACCATACTGACAAAGGAAAAACAGAATTGTCACAACTTCGTAAATTTATTAAAAATAAAAAACTGAAATAAGTACATTGCATAAGTATTCATACCCTTAACTAAATATTTAGCTGAAGCACCTTAACAGCCTCGAGTCTTTTTTTGTTTGATGCGACAAGCTTTGCTCATCAGCATTT